GGGGCAATAAAGGTACGAAGTGACTGGCTTACAAGGTTTCAAGAGGGAGTTTAATTTAAGAGTGTGTGGGGGAAGATAAAGTCCCCACTGAATAATTTTCATCTTGTCTAGATGGGTCTGGTGAAAAGAAATGGGGATAAGAGTCTTATGATTCAATAGTGAATAATTGTTGTCATGACTAATTGCGACTGTCACAATTATAAAGATAGAAGTTTTGTAACAAAAACAGGGAAATACTTAATCATACAGTCCAGAAACAGAAGACCCTAGGACCATCAAGGGAGAAAGACACAAGTGGAATGCTGGACCTTATTCAGAGAAGCAGTGACACCAGAGATAGAGACAGAGATGGGAACATGGAGAGAGGATGCAGCTGAGAACTCTAGATTCGGGAAAGAGAGGGACTGAGAGCAGGCAGCCAGGAGGCAGACTTGAAAAATGCACCCTTTTGTGGTTTAAGTTATTATATATGCCTGGGTGTTTTAAAAAAAAAAAAGCTAAAATAAATATAGAGAAATACTGTTAACTGATGGTACATTGAGGGGATTATAATCATTGTAATGAAACAAAGTATATGATTTGTTGAATGTAAAACTAATGATCTGCCCTGTAAACTTTCACTCAATTCACCATAAAAATTTTATATATATAAAAGTACATTGGTGAGGGGAAAAACAGGAAAATCATGGCAAAAAAAAATGTCTTTTCACAACAACTTTCTTTTCACAACTCATTCTTGAAGGTAGAAAGGAATATCCTATGAGAATTTTGTTGGGAAACATTACCCCATCCACCCTACAACCCTGATCGTGTCCCGTCAGAATTTGTTCCACAAACTCAAAGAACATTTCGAAGGAACATTATTTTGAGTCCCTGAAGGATGTCAAGACTGCTATTTGACATAGTTTAAACTGAAGAGCATAGGATTCTTCAGTGAAGGCTTAGAGAAAAGGAAATACTGCCTTCAGAAGTGTATAAACCTAGAAGGAGGAGATGTTGAAAAACAAGTGCTTCACATTTTAATTTTTTTCAATAAAATTTT